CGGTCCTGGAGAGCCGCAGCCCTGCAGAGTTTTGCTTCAACCCTAATCAAACACACCTGCACAAGCTAATCAAGGTCTGAAGAGTTACTAGGAAGCTACAGGCAGGGGAGTTTTTTATTAGGGTTGGAGCTGAGCTCTGCAGGACTACGGCTCTCCAGGATCGGAGTTCGCCACCCCTAATTTAGACACTTGCATTTTTGCTCCGTCCATGCAATAAATGCGCAGTCTTCGACTGCTCAGGTAATGTCGTCGGTATGACCGAGAGCCATTAAAAAACTACTTCACTTTAGCATTACTGGCCACGAGTACTCAGGAGAAGATCACACATCAGCTGCTCAAAAAATGTGTCAGTGAGACGAACGGAGCGCGAGCGCAATCCTGTGACAGTCACAGGCGGTAAATACTGGAGCGCGTGAAGGAGACATGCGAGGCACGAACACTGTTCAAGGTCTCCATTAATTCCTGCTTGTAGTAATTTATTGTGTACCTATATATTTTGAAAGCATTGAATCGCTATAGAAATAGCGATTCATTCGATTCTTAGCGTTTTAAATCGATTACTGTCCGAAATCGACGATTCACGATTCAAAAATCCATGTTTCAAGATCGATGCATTGCATCGTCAGGGTTTGTAATCGATGCATCGAGAAAACGAGTGAATCGTTACACCCCTACTTTATAGTTATCTTTAAATTGATCGTTCTTGGTGTGAACTGGGCTTAAGTGTGAGTTTTGTGTTTCTGCCCTTGCCATTCTCGCACAAGGTTGTAGCACTTTAATTCATAAATGTGATCTAACAAAGGTAAAGGGCAAATATTAACCATATATGCTGTTTACATTGCTTGTAATTGGGATGAAGTAAACATCTGTTGAGTATTTTAACATAACATTTTTGATTGTGTTGAATTAAAAACCCCAAAATGCAGCGGGTCCAACCAGACCCACGAACAAAAACATGAACACCACACAATGGTTAAAAATAGTAGATCCATCAACATGTCAGGTGTGGAACAGGTTTCTTTTTGAACATGCCAAATGGGCACACAGTGGTTGCACTGAACTTTACATTTCTACAGACATCTTATTTCCATCACATTCCAAAAATAAGTTCACATATCACAGGCTATTGATTTATTTATATGCAATGTAGGTGAAAAAAAAAATCTACAGCATGGTATAATGGTGTAATACAAAGTGACATGGGAAGTTGTTATACAGTGAAAAATGACTTTGTGTTTGATGTGTTCATTTTATGCCAGCTTACTTTAGCATTGCAATATAGCAAAATAAGATTTTGTATATGTGCGTATTTCAGTAATTCAGTGAGTGAGCTGCACAAAAAATAACTACAAGAATAAATAAGGAATGTTCTGGGCTCAATCCAAGTTGATTTGCTGTTGATTACCATGTGAAATAATTGTGAAATGTTATAAAAACAAGAAAGAGTAAAACTTAAGAGTAAACCAGGTAAATTGGAATTAGGAAATCTGTGAAGGAAGGCACTGCACTAGTATAAATGTTAGAATACATGCTTTTCAAAAGAATAGCTAAAAAATAAACATTACATGGTACACATAAATCTAACGTGCTAGAACTGCTAGCTAAGCTTATCTGCGTAAAATTATACCTAATATCTCAACTCCAGCCATGCTTATGGTTACCAGAAATCAGAAAGTTTTAACTATTGTAATTATCTGCGAAGTACTGTTTGCATGGAGCAACTCCACCCACAGGAATTACACTAGAAATGCAGAAATGAATCTGTCTAGAACAGTAGTTCCACTGCTAAAAGGGTGATTTATTATTTAGACAACTTTTTACAACTTTACAATTACTTACAAAAATACAACTTGTACACTTCTGACTTAGGAATCTTACCTCTTAAAATTCTATTGTGTGTGTGTTTGTGTTACGGTAAATGTCATTTTTGTTTGTTTTTACAAATTAAAAGACGAGTTGAAATTATTGTCTTTGTTAACAGCATGTCACAAATGCTTTGGACAGAACTTGTATTGAACCTGGAACATTCCTTTAATGAGTCAAGATAATTTAATCACAGTTTTAAAGCATTTCTTCATCAGCTGGATTACCTGCACAGGAAAAGATCCATCAATCCGTCTTTCCTTCATCAAGTCTTTTATAGCACAGCTATACACAGCTCAAAAATTGACTTTATTCTGATGCATCTATAATCCAACCTTGCACTTTTAAACCTGCTCCAGTGTGCTGTGTGAAATGGCCAGAGCAGTCATGTGAATATCATCAAACCAGGGTCTTGTAATCCTTTAGTCTCTGGGAAATGGGCAGGGAATGATGTCCTAGGACGTCTGCATGCCAAAAGAAATGTTACAGTCCTCCATTTAGCAAAGCTTCCTCTCCTTGCTCAGCGAGCAGCTTCCAATTCTGTCTGTTCTTCCTACATCCCTCCAGCAGGGGGGAGCAGTACTCTGAGACACCCGTCAGTGCCTGCTCACACAAACACAGGGCAAGAGAGCAGAAGGACACTCAATAAAAAATGATCACAAGCTGATGTTAAAAAGATAAGACCCAAAAATAAAAATTCTGTCACCATTTACTCATATTTTGAAGAATGTTGTGGTCCAAACAAAATTGGACCCCACTGACTTGCATGGAATCTAAACATTGTCATTTTTCAAAATATAAGAAATGGATACAAGTTTAGAATGACATGAAGATGAGTACATGATGAATTTTCATTTAACGAGCAGAAGAAATGGTGAGGGCTTGCTTTATTCTAAATGATCAAATTAACCCTGTAAAGCCTGACATGATACAGTAAGTTTTATAGAGTTAAAATACCCACATGATTAGCAGTTGAGATATTCTAATGCACACACCCAATCTATGATGATCCACAAAAAAAAGTTAATTATATAATAATTCAATACTTTTAAAATACATTTATTTATCATTTATCAAACATGTAGGCCCACGCTAAACTTGCACCATTGGTTGAGCCAGGTTCTTTTTTCTGTTAGCTGGTTGGGTCGCTTAAACAATGATATTAAAGGGGTCATATGATGCGATTTCAAGTTTTCCTTTCGACAAAAGAACATATGATTTACCTCATATAACTGTGTACAAATGGCATCAATGAAAGACACTTGCATGCTGGGAATTTTATCCTGCTTCTCCCTGTTCATCAGATCCTTGGAAAGAATCAAGTCACATGGTTACTTTTATTTTCCCATCCACCAGAGAGTTACTGACCTGGTTCTAAACTACTGCAGTCTTATAAAATATAATATTGATGTATTCATAAAGCAAGTAAAGAGCTTACAATAGGTTCAATGTTTAGCTCTCTCCGCTCCTTATCACCTTGTTCAAAGAACTCTGTGGCAACCAGTTCTGCTATCTGTTGAAACATAAATACATGGTAATTACTGAATTGGTACTTTCTTTGGTGAAGAAAATGGTCAATATTTCACATCAAAAGCTGATCAACCCTGAGAAAATTATGACACTTTCCTGTCTGTTTTCAGTTGGCAGTCTCCACAGGTTTGCTTATTAGTGCCGTTTGCAATATTTAGGGTTAGGGATTTGATAGACAGATAGGATACTAAGGAGTTATGTGACTGTGTTTAAAATGGAATACTGTGAATGCTCAATATGTTCTGTATGTTTTAACTATAGTATGTGAATCAACACATAATTCAATGATAAACAATTGGTGTCCATCTATCTTATCTCTTAAAAGAAAAAAAACTAAACTATATGATTCATACAAGTAACAAAGTACTTCATTTTTACCATAGCCTCATGTCCATCCAGTAAATAATAAGTCTGTCTATAAGTCATGAGCTTGCATAATTCTCAATGATAACATGTTCTTGGTTGTTTTATGAGAGTGTGAAGGTCTAAATTATGGTCATTTAGGTTGAGTTGAGTAGGACCGCAGCTGCCCCTCCCACCCTCTGCTAATCAGCAAACAAGCTTGTTAATTACTGAAGAGAGAGAAAATTAATGGAAGAGAGGAGGTGGTGATGATGTCATAAGCTATGAAAGACAGAGTAGAGGAATAAGAGAGCATATAATGCGCTTTTACTTTCGAAAACTATTAGATGGATTGCCATGAAATGCGTTAAACCAATTTAAGGTTAGAAACACTGTCTATGTGAGGGACAAAACACACTGTAAACACGTTAAATTTATAAAGCTACAGAATGTCAAAGTATCTACAAACTGCTATTCACTGAATGAAATAAAGCTTAAATTAGCCTTCATTATGGACAAACATTTCAAAAGCATTCATATCATTTATATGAATGAGCTTTGAAAGTGGGCTTTTATTGTAAATGTAATCATATGTATTCTTGTATGTTTACCTTCTTCTGTACTGGCCAGGGTTTTGCAATTGCAGAGATATCACATGCTGTCATCAGCATCGACCTACAGAAGACAATCATAACGAAGAAATATATATGACTGACCCATACATAAATGCATTCTTCTTCCCTGAATGCTTGACACTCACCTTAGCAGATCTCTGTGATATCCGTCCTCCCATACAAACTGACTGTTCTTAGCCAGCTCAAAGAATTCTGTTCTTTTCCTGCAAAAAACAAATATAGCATTATGAACAAACAGCAACAAACTGATAGAAATGAGCTCAAATACAAGTCAAATGAATAAATCCCTTTTGTAGGTTTCTAAAAGCACCTCTGACTCAGCTGTATATGACATCTGGTACCTACTTCATGTAGAGAGCCAGGTCAGTGGCCAAAATAGCCTTCTCAATCATCTTCAGTGTCGCCTTGTACTCGTCCAGAGAAAGACCGCTCAGAATCTGATTACCCTGAGAGAGAGAGAGACAGTAGGAATGAAAGAAAACAACCTTTTGTCTATATTATTATGTCAAGATGTACGGAAGCGGATGAATGCAGTTACAATGTGGCCACATAAAAACATTACATGGGTATTTATATGAGGGTATTTACTTAAAATGTGGGGTTTCTTATTTATATATATATATAAAAAAGATGATTCTGGTCAAATATACAACATATTTGTGTAATAATTAAACTGACTGTGTATTCTTTTTTAATGTGTTCTTTAAATGTTCACACAATATACACTAATATATGCATTTAGGTACATAATGGTTCCAAAAGGGGGGAACCATTATCTGCAATGCCGCAGAAGAAACATTTGGGGTTCCCCAAAGAACCTTTCAATTTTTAAAAGAACCTTTTTTATTATTGTGAAGACATTTTAAGAATTTAAAGGGGTCATATGATGCGATTTCAAGTTTTCCTTTCTCTTTGGAGTGTTACAAGCTGATTGTGCATAGATAAGATCCCTGAAGTTGCAAAGACTAAAGTCTCAAAACCAAAGAGATATTCTTTATCAAAGTTAAGACTCTGCCACGCCCCCCTAAAACGGCTCATTCTAACACGCCCCCACATATCTACCTCACCATGTGGAAATATTTGCATATTTCCAGTATAAATAATCTTTTGTGCAATGTAAAGGTCCCATGAATGTTAAAGGTTCTTCATGTAATCATAAATGCCAAAAATAAACATCATTTTAAAGAGTGTAGGATGCTGGGATATGGTGGGTAGTTGCTATGTGATTCCTAAGATCTTCTGGGTGGTTGCTTTAATGGCCTCATTGGCCTGAGCCTGAAGAGCCCACTCTCAAGTCCCTATTATATTCTCTACAGTATTTTTCTAGAGTACCTCCTTCAAAGAATTTCACACATTTCATCATTTTACAGTATATAAGTAATAGCACGTCCCATCAAAAAGGTACGTAATTTGAGGTATCATTCACATACCGCAAATGGTGTGGGCATATTATGTGCCAAATGTTATTCATTTTTAGAATTAGAAGTTTGATTAAATCACCAACCTTAAGAATGGGCTAATAGAGAAGCTGTATCTCAACAAATGCTACATTGCAGTCCAAGTCAGGCAACCACTGAGATAATGTCAGCATGTTGCCATAACAACATCAAGGCCCTGGACAATGAGAAAAGCATGGTCCCAGGCTTTCTTATTGAATTTGCTGAATGTGAATGAGAGTAATTATTCCCCGTGTGTAAATGCGATCAAAACAGCTAATTGTTTTCTAAGATACAGATTGTTATTACCTGTAAAATTAGACATTACTTTTAAAAGCTTCTCTGGATTTACAATGCAGGAGTGAATTGCTCTAAGCAGCAGATATAAGGTAAGAGGTCATCACACAGAAACTCAAAACAGTGTTTACAATTAACGTGTTTACAGCATGCTGCTAATGGAGTTTGCTAGCATGCTTTAAACAGTCACATATGCTTTTGTGGGTTATGTGTTAGTTTGTTTAAAAAATGGAGGTCTGCTTGACTGATACCAAAATGTTCAAAAACAACTGTATATGTCTTTAAGAAATGTGAAAAGTAACATAGTTTTATTTAAAATGTCTGCATTTCACACAGTTCTTCTTACCAGCTTTCAGTTTGGCACAGCAGTAAATTTCAAATACAAAATGCACTAAAACTACCAATACACTTCATGCATGTCTCAAATCACCTCATTCTTCCATAACACTAGCAAAGTTTGTCACCCAACAAACACTCATTGTCACTAATAAAACGATGACCTAAAAACTCTGTTTATAATTCACTGTAGTATATGTTACATGGTCCATGTTTACATTACAGTACACTTTTTTTTTTTTTTGTCCCTTTTTGTATAGGTGGTAATGAAATTGAAAGACTAACACCTTTATGGTTGTCCAGTTTGCGATCATTACTATAATAGTAGGTCCTGGCACATTTTCTTTCAGAATTTGACAGCAGAAAGAACAAAAACTATATACTTCAACTAGTATTTTATACTTCATAACATTTTTAACCTCTTAAGACCCGGCAAAACATTTGAGGAAAAAATTAGTATTTTTTCATGTCATTACATTGTTTAGAGCATGAAAAAAAAAACTAAAAATGATATTTCATTCATAAGTTATGTTACGTCCTTGGAAGAGGACATCGGGACTCAATTTTAAAAAAATAAAATAAAAAGACATGAATGAACATGCATAGGCAAAAACAATAGATTTTTAAAAAATCACCAATACATTTTTAGTTTTCAGGATTTTTTTTTACCAAACTTTGTATAAAGATAATTCTCAACTATGTTATAACAGAATGATTTGATATACCATTTTTTCTTTATGCAAAATGTGTGTAAAATGGCCATAAACAGATTTTCTCATTATGTATAATGTATCTATAAACTAAATCTAATTTGCATATTAATGTGTTTTTGGGGCAACGTGTAATGAAAAAAGAAGTGTACTAATGGGAGTAATAATTGACAAGATTTTCATAATAATATATAATATTTCATAGGAATTTTGAAATATAATTTCTTTCCCTATCCATTTGTTGTGTCTCCCAAAATGCGTAATAAACATCGGTGTCCTCATATGAGGACATGTATGAAATCAACGTCCTGTTTCGTAACAGAAAGTCATATTTTGATTTGAAACCCCATAACATTTTCCTGAGATGTTGATTTATGACACAGTTTAAAAATTAGTCAGATTTAAATG